TCTCTCTGTCTCTCCCTCTCTCTTTATCACTTCCCTCCTTCTCCGCCTCCTCCCACTCCCTCATTGGGCTGCAAAAGAATTGATAGCAGCGTTTGCATGTGTCTGTGTGTGTGTGTCAGTGTGTGTGTGTGTGTTTTAAGCTGGTTTCCAGTGACTGTAAGGAGAGGAGAGGCTCCACTACACCTCATCACCTGGGATACCTTTCATCCACCTCCCTGCCCTCCATCTCTCCCTCTGTCTCCTTTACACGCAATGTGGGTGACATGAGAACACGAGGGTGCTGTATTCACCCAGTGTGCTGCTGTTCAGTCAAATGCATTATCCATGGAATGACAGGGTCAGGGATGGCAGATGGCGGGAGGGGTTGCTGTATCTGTGTAAAAAACACATTGTGGAGCTATTTCTGTTAAGGGTGCAATCCTCATCCTCACAATCTCTTTTGAGTCCAATGTGAAACAAAAATCTTGAGGGCACAAAAAAACTGAAGTTACAACACTGCCCCAGTCCAGCATCCTTATTATTTGACTGAAACATTCCCCTCTCTTTTCACCACAATCATTTCCTGAATAATTCATACAGCAGCTAAGACCAGACACAAAGCAGGAAAATGTATTAGGGTCAAGTCGTGCAGAAATTGCTTGCAGAGTGAGCCAGATTTGGGGCATACATGTAGTACATGGCGTTTTGATATGAGAGAAGCATGCAAAGGGACTATAATAGGCCTAAATAATGATGTTCCTCCTCACATCAAATAAACTCAAGTGAAAAAGGCACCACTGAAGCAATCTGCATAACAATGACAGATTTGCCTGTTGGGGGTATAGCAGACATGACCCCTCCCTCTCTTTCACTCGTACTTGTCAGCATTACTGTCACAGATACTTATTGGCTTGGCTATATTTTACTGCCTTGCATGACTGATTCTCCCAATTTTCTTTGGGTTCAGAACTGTGAACACCAATAAAACGCTCTTGTAATGGGTTGCAAAAAATTGGCCTGTTTTCTCAGGCTATCTGCTGAGCCATTTAAGTATATATTATTATATATAGACTCATATCTCTGCTCGGCCAGTATGAGGGGAAACTGGAAGGGTCAAAAGGTCAATTCAACAAATCTAGCACATGTATAATATTCAGTGCAGTGGGTAAAGAAGAGTATATTTCTTTATTTATAAATTTTACTTTTGTGCTCGTTCCTTTGTTAATCAGGCAGCATTTTATTTTTGAGGGCATGATTGCAAATATGTAATGGAAATAGTAGTCTCTGTTTGTTTGTTTTGCTTTTCTTTTTTAGTTTGTCACTATGGAGAGACATTATAATAAGAACTAAGAGTTCTTTTAAATCAGATGAGACTAAAAGGGTTTATTCAAATTCATTTGTCAGCTTTACTGTCAGACTTAATGACCTTGCTAAAGCATCTCCTGAAACATTGACCCCCCATTTGGATAAATAGTGGAAAATGGTTTGTAATGTAAAAAGGGCTTACAGTGACAAGAGAAGGTCTTAAATCACTGTCATTAAAATGAAAGCCCGGGGGCCATATAAGTGATACTGCCTTAACTGTTTGCATTTCAATTCATTCTATTGTTTAGGATGAATCTGTGAGGATTACACAAGGGGTTATCAGGGTTCATCATATACAGCTAAAGCAAATGTAATTTCTTGTCAAAATCCACTGACATTTCCAGATGACCTATAAATCCATTTTAATTCTGTAAGAGTGAGGCAACTACAGTAGAAACTAAGACAAAGCTTGTCTTTTCTCCTTGCTCACCTATTGTGTTTTTACATGGAAGCCAATTTCTGCCCGGAAAAGGAAACAAATATGTCAGAATTACAAGATATGAAGTGAGTTGTTTTTTGTTTTTTTTTTACAATTT